CAATTTACAGCTTTTAACTCAAAAATCCTCTTTCTAATTTATTAGCCAAAACATAAATTAAGTTGATCTAGCTGCCCTATGAGTTGGACTCTGAAATTTTAACCAAAAATATACCTCCCATTACTTAAAAAAACCACCAAGTTTCAGCCTCAAATTCAAAGTACATGCATTTAAAAAAATTCAAATAAGTTATCAACAAAAACGAGCATAAAATTCAAAGCCCGACCTAACGAAAGAATTAGCACATAAGATTTTTTTACTGGAGTAAGTTCAGCAGTCAAGGACCAACATATAAAAATTCCAGCAATTTACTCCAATTACACAAATTATGAAAATTCATAAAAAGTTCAGCAATTTATCGAATTTAAATCAAAACCGAACCAATTCCAACTCAAAAAATTCCAATATTTTTACGGCATGCTTGTACACATAAAACAAGCATCACAGCCAAAAATCAGAATTTTCCTGCAACTAACCAATTTAACAAAATTAAAACACTATTCAGCCGAAAACGTAAATAAATTATTTACCCTATCAATATCAATACAAAAATTCTAAAAATTGTACACAGCAACCAAACCAGGCAAATTGACAACATATTATAATTTCATGAATTTTGGAGTACTACACAATTTATTATGAATTTAACACGAATCTGACCCGAATTCATTTTAATTTTTAAAAATAGCTACAAACCTCAGAAAATTATGAAATTTTTACACAAGCTACAAAATCACCAAGGACAATTACAGTTAAAATTTCACAGCAATCGGATCAGTATATAACTTATAAAAATTTAAACACCAAAACAGCAAACATAACCGATCATAAATTCATATACGACTCGATTTACGACGAAATCGCCCAAGGTCTTTGCCATAAGACCAGGGATTCTATAAGGTTCCAACCCACAGCAACTTAATCACGAAATGACAAGGTCTCGTTCGATTTCTCAAAATTGAAGAGCTCGTCTATACACATAAGTATATATAGACTCTCAAGAACACACAAACAAGTCATAAGCATCTATTTCTACATATTCAAAATTCACGTTCAACAATCAAACGAACTCAACAACATAACAAGGGTTGAAGCTCGATACCTACGAAAAACGAGCAACATAAGGATCGAACGGGTTCGACGGCTACGCTTCGGTCACCGACGGAACTCCACGGGACTCGACGGCTACGTTTGGCACTTCGATGGAACTCGACGTGTCCCGACGGCTGAGAATGGACGTTGGCTCGCTGCTGGTTCACTTCCGGCGAGAGGAGATGCTGGTGACTGAGATATCTCGCCGGAGACAATGACTTCCGTGACCGCAAAAGAATCCGGAATGGTTCACGTACTCGCCGGGTATGGTGGCCTGCTGGAACAACGCCGAAAGGGCCCGACGGGGTGGAGGCGCACGTTGACAGAGGCGAGCGAGGGGTGAGCAGGTGATGATCGGCGAAACAGAGCAGCGGCGACCGGTTTTCTGTGCGCGGAGGATGATGGTGCGATGGTTTTACGAGAGAAAAGGGAGAGCTACGAGGGAGCAGATTGATTTCAAGTTTAGGCGATGAAGTCTCAGAACGAGGGACTCCAATTATACCGTAGTT